AGACCACATATCTGATGAGATCTTGAAGGAGCAGCTCAGGAGCTCCGCATCTGAACGGCCACGGACGCACAGCGCCAGCCGCGAGCCAGCTCGTCTCACGGAGACGTCTTGCGCGTGTGTCCGTCTGTCCGTTCCTCTCCTCCTTCGGCGTGATCTCTATGGGTAGTATCCAGCAGCTTCGTTTCGTCAGCCCCGCCCCTCCCCCTCTCCTTCAGGCGGGGGCCCGCGCCTGAGGGCGGGACCTGGGGCTCACACCCCGCGGCCGCGCTCTGGTCCCCTCCGCCTCCTTGTTCATTTCTGTTCTCTCCTCCCTCCTCTTTCCTCCCCTCCTGTCGCCTTCTTGGGGGGCGTTCCCTGTCGCCAGTGCCCAGATGGAATGCGGCCCTCCACCTGGGCACCCATACAACACCCCCGGATGGGTGCACCCCCAGCAGAGGCAAGAGATCAGCAGAAGACAAGTGAAAGGGTATTTATCGTGGCGAAGGACCTATCCATACGCGAGTGCGAGAACCGCAGGGCAGGTGGGACGAAGCAAAGAGAATTCCCAATGGGGCCACGAACCGTGTGAGGGGTGCGTCACAATGGGGCAGGGCCTCCATGCGAACCCTACCACTGTGGACTTCAATGGAACTCCTTATGGGGCCACGAACCGTGTGAGGGGTGCGCCACAATGGCGCGGGGCCGCCATGCGAACCCTGCCACTGGGGCCTTCGGTGGAGCTCCCTATGAGGCCACGAACCTTGTGAGGGGTGCGCCAAACTGGGGCGGGGCCGCCATGCGAACCCTGCCACTGGGGCCTTCGGTGGAGCTCCCTATGGGGGCACGAACCTTGTGAGTGCCGCCACTGGGGTCTTCGGTGGAGCTCCCTATGGGGGCACGAACCGTGTGAGGGGTGCGCCAAAATGCCGCGGGGCCGCCATGCGAACCCTGCCACTGGGGCCTTCGGTGGAGCTCCCTATGGGGCCACGAACCGTGTGAGGGGTGCGCCCAAATGGAGCGGGGCCGCCATGCGAACCCTGCAACTGGGGCCTTCGGTGGAGCTCCCTATGGGGCCACGAAGCGTTGTACTGGGTGGGTGAAACGCAAGGAGGAGGGAGGAGGGAGGAGGAGGAGGAGGAGGAGGAGGAGGAGGAGGAGGAAGGAGTGAGGAACGCGGGGCGCTGTCTATTCAAATCGAGGACCCAACACCACATGATGGTTGGGAATTATCCTGGCGAAGGGCACAACCATACGCAAGTGTGAGAACCGCAGGGCAGGTGGGACGAAGCAAGGGGAATTCCCAATGGGGCCACGAACCGTGTGAGGGGTACGCCCAAATGGGGCAGGGCCGCCATGCGAACCCTTCCACTGGGGCCTTCGGTGGAGCTCCCGATGGGGCCACGAAGTGCTGAACTGGGTGGGTGAAACGCAGGGAGGAGGGGGAGGAGGGAGGAGGGAGGAGGGAGGAGGGGGAGGAGGAAGGAGTGAGGAACGCGGGGCACCGTGTCTTCAAAACGAGGACCCATCACCACAGGACGGATGGGAAAAAGAAGAGGAGGTCGGCAAATTGGAAAGCCAGCGCCCTCGACGAACCGACTGCGTGAAGCTGCGGAGGCGGTATATGTTCAAACCCTACGCGGCAAAGAGCCGACGCGCAGATAAGCCAGAAAAGTGTTGAAGTGGTGGCAAGCGCCAAACAACAACCGGCGCAACTGCGCAGCGATTGCGGTTGCACGCAACGCAAACTCTCGCCGAGTTAACGCGCCGTGCTTCGTGAGCCCAGGGTCCGGGCCCCCGGGGAAAGGCAGGAGGAACCAGGCGAATGGGGTCGGCCCACGCCGACAAGGCCTGGCCTAGACGCAGACTCGCATGCAGAACTGCGGCCGCGGCAGATTTGTAAAGCGCGCGCGACAGCACAAACCCGAGCGCAGAGCCGTGGAAGGGACGACCCGACCGTTCGAGCAGCCAGAAGGCCGGGGAACAGTCACGAGTCCGACCAAGGGGGGGGGAGGGGGCGCCCCGCGACCAGGGAGATCGACCACGTGTGCGCAGCGCGCGCCACGAAGGCGGATCAGATCACGAGAAAGAGCTTCGCCGCGGAGGGTTCCTGGGCAGCGCAGGCGGGGGGCCACGCGCCCTGAGCGGCCTCGGCCCCCGAGGCGGCCCACACCCGCGGGGGCAAGAGGCATCTGCCCTCCAGGGCGATAGAGGGAAGGAGGACAGACGGGGAACGGAGGGGGGACGACGGAGGAGGCGAAGGGAAAGGGAGAGGAGGGTAGAGGAGGTGGGGGTGGAACCCGCATCTCTTTGATGGGGAAGGCCCCCGCAGGGGCGGAGTATCCTCGAATAGGGCCGCCACCGGCATTGCGAGGCTGGGGATGGCCGTCTGCTGCGGAGCAATGCTGAGCGCGGTTCGGGGTGTGTCCTTGAGTGGGGCACGCATGGTGACGTTGTTTATAGAATTCTTGCGCACCTTGGCACGCGTCTTGGTGGTCTGAATGACTTCTTCGAGTTGTCCCAGGCGCCGCCAGTGCTGCGCATGGAGATCACCAGCTGCACGTGCAGGCTAGGAGCGATAATCTCGAGGGACGCCTCGGTGAAGATCATGATGCGCTTCGTATAGTCGCGAACCGCGTGCATGGGGTCGCTCTTGGCCGCCCTGATCTTAGGAAAGTGCCGCCAAGGTGTTCGTACATGTCGTTCTCGGCCTGTCCACAGATTTTCTGGTCATCGCGGAGCTGGGGCTATAAGCATCGATGGTGAGGGCAATGGTCTTCGTAGCCAGTATACCCATCGCTCCGAGCGCCACACTTTTTCGAGGCCAGGGCGCGGGGCCCCGGGACTTGCCCAGAACTTCCCCCCCAGGGCTCGGGGACTCACCCAGACGGCTCCGGGACTTACTTTTTCGAGGCCCTGGGGCCCCAGGTTTTACCCAGACGGCTCCAGGACTTACTTTTTCGAGGCCCCGGGGCCCCATGACTTACACAGACGGCTCTGGGACTTCATTTTTCGAGTCCCCCGTGCCCCGGGACTTACTTTCTCGTGGCCCCGGGGCCCCGGGACTCCCACCCGGGGGCCGGGGACTTACCCAGACGGCTCCCCCCAGACAGCTCTGGGTCTTACTTTTTCGAGGCCCCGGGCGGCCCGGGGTTCCGGGATTCCCAGGATTTCCCCCCTATGGGGCCCTGGGACTTCCCCAGACGGCTCCGGGACTTACTTTTTCGACGCCCTCGGGGCCCCGGGACTTACCCAGACGGCTCCAGGACTGACGTTTTCGAGGCCCCGGGGCCCCGGGACTTACCCATGCAGATTTCCCCCTGGGGGCCCCGGGACTTAGACAGACGTCTCTGGGATTCATTTTTTCGATACCCCGGGGCCTCGGGACTTACACAGACGGATTCGGGACTTACTTTTTCGAGGCTCGGGCCCCGGGACTTGCTTTTTCGAGGCCCTGGGGCCCTGGGACTCCCCCCCCCGGGGCCCCGGGACTTACTCAGACGACTCCAGGTCTGACGTTTTCGAGGCCCCGGGGCCCCGGGACTTACCCAGATTTCCCCCCGGGGCCCCGGGACTTAGACAGACGGCTCTGGGACTTCTTTTCTTTTTTCGATGCCCCGGGGCCCAGGATTTACACAGGCGGTTTCGGGACTTATTTTTTCGAGGCCCCAGGGCCCTGGGACGTACTTTTTCGAGGCCCCTGGGCCCCGGGACTTGTTTTTTCGAGGCCCCGGGGCCCTGGGATTTCCCCCCTGGGGCCCCGGGACTTACCCAGACGGCTTTGGGATTCACTTTTTGAAGGCCCTGGGCCTCGGATTTACGCAAACAGCTCTGGGACTTTCCCCCAGGGTTCTGGGACTGACCCTCAAGATTTACCCCCAGGGCCAGGGACACCCCCAGGCTTCGGGCTGGCTCCAGTACGGTCTGGTTCGGTCCAGTCCGGTCCGGGTCGGTTCAAAATGGAGTCTGGTTCGGTTCGGTTCGGCTTGATTATACAATACGCGTCAGGCGGTTTGGTTCGGTTCCTGTTGAGATCAAAACCGTTTCTCGCCCGTTCGGTTCAGCCCGGTTCGGTTCGGTTCGGCCGCTTCGGTACAGTTTTGGAACCTTCTTTCTGATTCGGCTGTGTCAGGGGGGGAGGGCGGGGGGAGGCGAGCAGCGTTTTTTGGAGCAGAAAAAAAGGCTTGCATGGGAGCGCGGTTCCGTGCCACGTCCTGATGCACGTTCCCAGACGCGTTCCCTGGCACGTCCCCTGGCGCGTCGCCTGGCACGTTCCCTGGCACGTTAGGTTCTCTGGCGCGTCCCGTGGCGAGTTCCCCAGGCACGTCGCGCGGCGCGTCCCCTGGCACGTCCCGTGGCACGTCCATTGGCACGTTCTGTAAATAGCGCGTCCCCTTGGCACTTCTCGCGGTGCGTCTCCATGGCACGTTCACTGGCACGTCCGCTGGCGCGTCCCTTGGGACGTTCCGCGGCGCGTCCCCCTGACATGTCCCCCTGTGCATATGCAATTGAGGTCCTTGAATCGGTTCCATGCCTCGCAGTTCTCAATCCCTGTTTTGGATCGTTGGTCGAACATGTTTCCATTGGCGTCTCCATATTTTTGGCCACTCCCATGACTACGTCAGGTTCGCGCCGCGTTCACGCGGTGGCGACCCCAGCGCGGGCATTCAGCTTGAACGCCGCCAGTGGCCAGAAACTGGGCGATATCTAACGATCTGCGTTGCCGGAAAGCCGCAATCGTTCAAGTTTGAGATTCACACGGTGGCAGGTACCAACTCCGACGTTAGCGTACCGTGAGTCTTTTGTACGGAATTTCCAACCTCCAGCTTTCTCAGCCTGCCTGTTTTCGTGAGCCAGGCAGTGTCCATTTCGATCCGATCGATCCAATTCGATATCGCTTCCTGCCAGCCCTATGATATTCGATCTTGCTATTCCGACGATCCGGTTCGTCCTGATGTTTGCATGTCTTTGCTGTGCATCTTGGCGCAGCCAATCCAGTTCGATTTCGACTCCGTGCCGATGCAGCCTGGTCCGGCGCATGCTCCGATTCGATTGTTGTTCCCGACTCCGATGATGACTGGTCCTGCGGATGCGGAGTCTGCTCGCGCCTGCCCCCCCCTCCCAGGTGCGGACAGCGTGCACTCCCTGCCCTCCAAGATATTCAAGCGCTACGGCACCCCGCTGATCGAAGGGGGCAGCTCAGGAGCGCCTCGCGTGAGGAGGGGCGAGCGAGCGAGCAAGCGTGGGATCTCCGATGTGCGGCCTGCACACGAGCCTTCGCTCTGCTGGCAAACTCGCACTCGGGATTTGTCCGAGATGGCCCAGACAATCTTTCGCTTCGCATCGAGGGCATGTCGTCGCGGGGGGAGGGGCAGGAGGAGAGGGATACGACCGTGACGGCGCAACCGCGCTCCCGAGGGTCACGAGGCTGGCACATAGGGAGGGGCCCTCGTGTGGTCCTTCATGGGGGACTCAGAGGCTCCCCAGATCCCTTGCGGTTTGGGGGATTGCATGCGAATCTCGTCGGATCTGGCCGGCCTCTGGACGACATCTCTGCGAACTCTGCACGAAAAAGGGTGCAGAGGGCTGGCCGAAGTCTGGCCGAGCTCCAGTCGAAATCAGGATGTTCCCGATCCTATGCCGAGGAGGAGGAGGAGGAGGAGGAGGAGGAGGAGGAGGAGGAGGAGGAGGAGGAGGAGGAGGAGGAGAGGAGGAGGAGAGGAGGAGGAGGAGGAGGAGGAGGAGGAGGAGGGAGGAGGAGGAGGAGGGAGGAGGAGGAGGAGGGAGGAGGAGGAGGAGGAGGAGGAGGAGAGGAGGAGGAGGAGGAGGAGGAGGAGGAGGAGGAGGAGGAGGGAGGAGGAGGAGGAGGAGGAGGAGGAGGAGAGGAGGAGGAGGAGGAGGAGGAGGAGGAGGAGGAGGAGGAGGAGGAGGGGGAGGGGGAGGGGGAGGAGAGATGGAACGCCGCCGGTGGCCTGGCCTCGGCCCGCGTGCCCAGCGGGCGGCGCTCTCGAGGCCGGGCCGAGCTGCGGCGCGCCCGCAGGGCGGGCCAGATCCTTTTGGAACATCTCGAGGCGCGCACGGAAGGCCTGCGTCGACGACGACGACGACGACGACGACGACGACGACGACGACGACGACGACGGCGGCGGCGGTGGCGGCGACGACGACGGCGACGACGACGACGGCGGCGGCGGCGGCGGTGGCGGCGACGACGACGACGGCGGCGGCGGCGGCGGTGGCGGCGGCGGCGACGGCGGCGGCGGCGACGACGATGACGAGCCCTCTAAGGTGCCCTCAGACACCCCCGAGACACTCTCCCGGATGCCCCCGAGAGGCCGAGCACACTGATTTTCCAACGGGTTTCCCCTTGCTTTTCGCGTGCCGCGCTCTTCGGTCCAAGATCGGCCCACCTCCCGGCCGTCGGAGGCCACCGAGAGCCTCGAGAGGGCCCTGGGACGGCACGGGACGGCCTCAAGAATCACGACGAACGCGGGGATACCTCGTCCTCCCTTCATGCTCGGCATCGCTTGGACGTGTTCGTTTGTTTCTTGGCGAGGACCATCGATGAGCATCCTTGATCATGGAGCCCCCCCCAAAAAACACGCACCAAAGCGACAACTGCACGGAGAATGGACATCCGAGCGATGGCAATCTTGTGTACGGTAGGTTCGCGTCGTGTCGGCGTTCAACGTTGGACGCCGCCGGCCATCCAGGACTGGTCGACTTTGAACGATCCGACGTTTCGGAAAGGGCCGATCCTTCCAGGTGGAAGGATCCCCGCGGTGTCAGGAACCAGCGCCGAAGTCGGCACGACACGACCCTGCCTGCCGTATAGAACTAAGCTCACCCGCACAGTAAGGATGGCGTAACTTTCCGAGGCTACCCCCCTTCGGCCCGTCCCGAGCGACTTTCGCTGGCCAACCTCGTTCGAAAAACGTTCACGTGGCCCTCCCAGGCCCTTGCATCCTCACCGCGCGTCCTTCTTGCGGCAGGTTCGTGTCGTGTCGACTGGCGGCGACCCCGCCGCGAGCGCTCAGCGTTGCACGCCGCCGGCCACCCAGGACCGGTCGATGTTTAACGACATCGCGTTTCGGAGACAGCCGATCGTTCAAGGTTGAACGATCGCCGCGGCGTCAGGAGCCAACGCCCAAGTCGGCACGACACGAACCTGCAGTGCACGGGTTGCTTGGCATCGCTCGGACGTGTGCATCTTTCCTCGGCGAGAACCATCGAGGACCACCCTGGACCATCGAGCAACAAAAAAAAACACGCGCGAAACCGAAAAAGTGCACGGGAACTGGACGTCCGAGCGACGGCAAGGTTGACTGTGCATCCGTGAGAAGGAAGGCCCCAGCCGTGCCACCAGAGGGTCACGCTGCACAAACGTTCCTTCTCGGAGGTCGGCGGCGGGTCGGCGCGGATCGCTTGACGTCGGCGCCAGGCGCCCCTCCTTGGCGCCTCCGAGGTGCGCCAAAGGCGGCCACCGGAGGCGTCGCTGGGGGTGTTCGGCGCCAGGCCAAAAACTTCAGGGGCAACGATGGGGGGCGATACGGCATAGGGGGGATGCATCGATCTCCAATCGCCCACTGATCGTCGATAGGGGTGACGGAAAGAGCGAGGTACGAGCGAGTGACGTTGAGTAGGGGGCGAAGCCCTTCTTAGGGGGGGCCCAGGGGGGTTGCGAGGCCCAGACGTATGGTCTGATAGCCCGTTTCCCTTTTATTTTTTCGAGTGAAGCGGCTCCCGGGCGGCTCCCATGGCCCATTTCTTCCCCAGACGGGCCCAAGACGGCCCAGAGGCCCCAAATATCGTCCCAAGATGGCCCCGGAGGCGCCCCAAGCGGGCCCAAAACGGTCCAAGAGGGCCCCCAGACGGGCCCAAGACGGCCTAAGAGGCCCCAAAGATCATCCCAAGACTGCCCCAAAGGCGCCCCAAAGGGGCCAAAAACGGCCCAAGATGGCCCCCAGACGGCCCCAATACAGCCACGAATGCCCCGAGGGCCCTAAGAGAGCCCAAGAGGGCGCCAATAGGCTCCCCAGCGCGCCCGAAGAGGAGGAGGGGGAGGAGGAGGAGGAGGAGGAG